TCAAAATTTTCAATGACTACATTATTGTTGATCCCACTTGACTATACTTACGTTTTTGGAAAAAAAATCTAAAAATAATCAACCTTTAAAGAACTTTTTGAAACATAAAATTGCTTAGCTGTGTTTTCATTTTTTTGAAAAACACAAAAAAACATGTTTATCTAAAATTTGTTCTGAATTTTTTTTTTAGAAAAAAACTAACTTTTTACGAAATACAACCAAATATCCATTATTTCCAAAACTGTTTCGCACAAAAATGAAAAGGCTGGGTGTTTTTCACACATACAATTGCTGTTGTTTCCAAAAATATGAAAACAAAAAACAAGAAAACAAAAACAATATTATGTATCTATGCTAAAAAGGCTGGCCTCTCTCTCTCTCTCTCAAACCCAGAAACATGGTTGGACTGGCCTTTGTCTCTACTGCATCTATGCTGACTTCAATGTGCCCTATCATTGTCCATATATACGTATCTATCTACAACTACACACTTCAGTCCTACTTATTACCATTCCCACTTTGAAGCAGAGCTCTCTCTCTCTCTCTCTCAGTGCTTCACACTACACAATGGTGAACCCCTGTTCCATTTCCATACCCATTATCAAAACCCCTCTTCTGTTCTCTCTCTTGTTTACATCATTCATCGCATTCGCTTCTGCAACCAACAGTGTTACGTACGATTATTGTATTCACTTCTGCAACCAACAATGTTACGTACGGTCATCGCTCTCTCATCATTGATGGCTAGCAAAAGCTCCTCATCTCTGCTTCCATTCACTACCCTCGCAGTGTCCCTGCGGTGAGACTCGTGTTTTTCTCCTCTTCATTCAATCATTTTCCATCTAGGTTTCCACGAAAATGTGGGAAAATAGATAGGAAAAAAAAAATTAAGTTTCCTTTTTCTGGTCGACCGGCTGGTCGTTCCATTGGACGTCCAATGCGTTTTGATGAAAACTACAGTACTCATTGTTGGAGTGACTGATATTAGATTGAGGAATTCGTCTTTTTTTTTACTCGGATTTAATGAAATTTTTAGTGAACCGTTAGAGATGCCTTGGTGACAGTATTTATATACATATCTAGTACTCTTTACTTAACCTGACTGTAACTATCTAAGTAAACCATAGTTAATCTCTAACAAACTAACAGCTTATTTGCAACTTGCTTTGCAATTCACATATGCTTGAAATGAGAGAGAGAGAGAGAGAGAGAGAGAGAGTTGCAGTAGATGAGAGAGAGCTGCAGCTGCTGCAGCTTTAATTGCTTTGTCTGTTCGGAGCTGCAGCCTCGGCTGTGGCTACTGGCTGCTGAGTTGTGGCCTTGGCTGCTGGACTGTGGTGACAGCTGTTGGTTGCTGTGTTGTGACCTTGGCTGTAACTGGCTGCTGTGACTGCTTTGCCTTATCAAAAAGGTGATTGTGGTGAGAAATTAGGGTTAAGGTTTGGAGAGTTTTTTTTGGTAATTTTAGAAGGGGTAAAAGTGTAATAATATTTTTGAAAAATTAGGGTGTAATGAGCTCTTTTTGTTGTGCAAAAAGAATTATCAATTAAGTTTTCTTGTATTAATTATTTATTTTGCAATAAATTAAAAACTTAGTTATTCATGTTGATATAAATTGAAGTTTTCGCTACTTTCATCCTAATAAAACTGAACTTAAAAAGAAATATAAAGTGTTGTTAATTATTCGTTGAAGGATAAATATTCTTGGTATCTTGCTTGCTTTAATACCCTCTAAATTTAGTTGACAGATTACGTAAAGGGATATTCCAAAAATATGTTTGCAACTCTTAAAACATTCATCCAACTAAAACCCAACTTAACCCTTGTAACGTGACTATGAATAAATTTAGAAGTTGATAGTTTCGTTGTAGTGATAATAGGATCTGTTTAAGTGCAAGAACATTTCATTTTAGAGAAAATTATGCTTTTTTGCTTTTAGTATTATCAATGGTTAAATAGGAATTTTTACTCATAAATCCTCTTTTATGCATTTGTATTTCATTAGGTCCTAAGAGCAATTACAACCATGCTCTTCATTTTCTACTACCTTAAATATAAAAAAGATATATATATTTTTTTTCCTTATTATTATGTGTACTCCAATGCTATTCTTTATTTTATCTATTTATACACACAAATTGTTTAAAGAGCATTGAGAGGTCTTCAAATGTAGCTAACCCTTAAGAATTTGTTAAAATAGCTATTATAATAATTAACCTATTAGATGACTAAAATATGATAATATTAGTTATAATAACTAATAAATTTCATTTAAATAGTGTATGTAGATGCTCTAACACATTTTTCTTAATTACTAAAGTCCTATTATATAAGTTGTTTGGAAGACTAAATCATTTTTTCAAAATTTTAGACATTTTTATCCTTATATGTGCAAGTACAAATCTAGGAAAGTAGTCAATATACTTATATTACTACTATATCTGTTTATATGTCAAATTTTAAATTTTCATAATGTAAGTTGTACACATCTATTTTTGATAAAATTTACATTTTTAAAAAGTACTTGATGAGATATATTAGATAAGAATTGAATATAAAATTATGTAAAATGAAAAAATATATATAAAACTTCAAATTTTTTTGGATTTGATAGTACGAAACTTTTCACTTTTGAAATTTCACATTTTTTTATAAATGTTTTAAAATTTTACTTAGTTTTTGATTGAAAATTTTTAATTTTTAAATTTATAATATAGTGTGAAATTTCACATATTTGAAATATAAATAAAATAAAATTCACAATACCATATTAAGTTCAAAAGATAACTTATAAAGTTGATAATTTTTTGCTTAATGAATTTTGTTCATAGAATAAATTATGTGAATGTTCATAGTTGTTGTGAGTAAGAATAATATGAATGAATAAGAAAATGTGAATATTTTTTTTGAAAATTGTGAGTATTCACACCATTTTTTAAACTTTTTACAAATTCACAATATTTTATTTATTGAAAGTATGGATATTCACATTTATAATTATCTCATTTCTTAGAAAATTCACACTAAAGAAATTCACATTATTATCTAACCATGGGGTTTTTTTTTGTTTTAATCTGAAAATATAGATTTTTCCGAAAATTAATATTATAATAACAAAATAATATCACTTAGATTAGATAGTTTCACAAAAATAATTCCTACAATCAAGCTACAAATTGAATTGGGATTTATATTGCCAAGTTTGGAGACACATCAAAAAAGGGGTTTTTTGGTCTTTTAGAAAGTTATAGGACTAAATGGAATTGCAAATTCTGAATGGGTCTAAATAGAATGAAAGTTTTAGTTATGGAATTTATGGGTAAAAATCCCTTGAATTTTCTCCTTATACGAATCTGACGGTTGGGATTTGTTTTGGTGTATGATGCATCAAAACACCATAGATGCAACCATTGAAAAATGGAAAATATTAGAGATTCTACATTTTTTACTAAATACTCACATAGATGGGTCTCACATATAAATATTTGATAGAATTTATTTTATTTTATTTTTTTAATTATTTTTTTTTCTTTAATCCTTAGCATTTGCATTACTCTTGAAAAATACTATTTTTGAGGTCCAAGTCAAAAGCTATAGTTTGGCAATGACTTTTACTGCAACTTTCTAAAAACAAATGGTGTATTCTACTTGGGGTGAAAATTTAGCATGTAATCCGTTAATATGATTTGAATCGTATAGGTAATTAGATAATTAGAATTAATCATTTTTTGACTTGAACCCGAATATGATAGGATTCGATATAATTTGTTGTGTTTGGGAAGAACACGCGAAATCTAAAATGAACATGTTGGACCAGTGTAAATATTCGTATCAACACGTTGACATGAATCTACTATTGACTCACATGCAACCTGAATACAACATGAATTTAGTAATCATAAAATCTTGAGTAATTTATTATCCTTTAGATTTAAATTTCAATCTATATATAATATATATACCTAATGAAGTGCAACCCTAAATTAATGACAAATTAGAAGAAGTCAAAATTGATAGACATGAGAGTTTTCGAATGTGTGACAGGAGTGTTTTTGTGGCACAAGTCGATGTGAAAGAATCACAATAATATTTTTGGATGTGGCATAGGTACAAAATTATTATTATTATTATTATTATTATTATTATTAGTTTGGTATTGGACGAAAACTCATTTTGCTTTTAAAAATTTATTGAATATTTAAATATTAATGAGTGACAATAGTTTAGATTGGATATGTAATGAATTAGTGATGAATATTTTTAATTATTTTCATAGATATTGGTACATATATTATCATTGTGCTTCAATGTTTAAACAAGTTATTCTTATGCATATGATGTGAAACAAGTTTTTGTTTTGTTTTATTTTAAGTGCAGTACAATCTGCTTATAATATGAAATATGAACTTTTGCCAATTGTTTTAAGCATGTCGTGTTAGGATTAACACAATCACAAGTAGATCATGTCAGCGTTAAGATAATTGACACGTTTAATAAAATAGGCCATGCTAGTGTTGGCTTGTTTTGAATACGAACTCGATATGACACGAGACGACACAAAAACGATATGGCACAGCACAATTCCCACCCTACTGGAATAACTTTGTAGGTTAACAAGTTAGTGATTTATTTATTGGTTACCTCTCCAAAGGTTTAAAGAAAATACAGTTGACCTAATTCACTCCCCCCCCCCAAAAAAAAAAAAAAAAAAAAAAAAAAGTTGACCTTATACTTTTGACATAATTATACTGACATCTCTCAAAGTTTTAGCTCATATAACACTTAAGTCTTTTCATACTTTTGTCATCTCTTTTACAGTTGCATGAATATTTCTTCCTATTTATAATTGTGTTTTCATACTATTTGTATTAAGTTCGGCCTCTATAATCTTATTGAAAGAAGGTTGGTGTAATTATACCAAAACTGTAGAGTTAATTGTAATTTTTTTTTTTAAATCACAAGAGCTGTTAATATTATTTATACTCTTACCATGTGTGCAGACAGTGTGAAATTTGTGGTGAGACTGCAAAAAATGTAACAGGAACTGTGGATGACAGATTCATGGAGAAGTGGAGTGAGTTGAGACCTACTGACGATAATGGTGTTACAAACTCGGCGGATAGGGTTGGACAAAGAGGACGACGATGTTGTAATTTCTTGATTATTTGCACGTTATGTGGTGTTTTGTTGTTCTGGTCTTTCCATTATAAGGAAAAATTACAGTAAAATGGGTTGATGAAAAAAAAAAAAATTATTGCAATTCAATAGGCTTTTTCTTTTTTATGTTTTTAATTACAATAGAAATGAATTGTACAAAATAAATTGGACATTGATAGAATTTTTAATTTAAAAGATAAATATACCATTTCTTCTTCGCTTCTCTCCAAGGTTCTAAATCGCGGTATCGGGTAACGTAACGGTATCGATCGCGAAGTATCGGTATCGGTAGTATCGATCGGTACGTATCGGGAATCGGGTGTCGCGGTGGTGAAATTTTAAAAATCATTTTAAAGGTTTTTCAAATGTTGTAATTTCTTGATTATTTGCACGTTATGTGGTGTTTTGTTGTTCTGGTCTTTCCATTATAAGGAAAAATTACAGTAAAATGGGTTGATGAAAAAAAAAAAAAAAATTATTGCAATTCAATAGGCTTTTTCTTTTTTATGTTTTTAATTACAATAGAAATGAATTGTACAAAATAAATTGGACATTGATAGAATTTTTAATTTAAAAGATAAATATACCATTTCTTCTTCGCTTCTCTCTTTCTTTCTCTCTCCTCTTTCTGCTCCCCTTTCCTCTACAACTCCAACACCTACACCTTCTGGCGCTACCCCTAGCCCTCTCTCACCCTCCTTGTACACCGCTGGCCAACCCAGGCCCTTCAACAACCCTTTTCCCATCTTGTCCACCACATACTGCCCCTCCTACCCTCTTTGTCTTCCGGCCCTCTAACCATCTCTTCACCATCAAAACCCCTTTTCACGTTTTCTCCATCATTCCTTGTCCATTTCTGCTCTTCTACCACAAATTGAAAAACCCTCTTTCCTGATCATAAAACTAGTTCATGAAGACCAATCGTGAAACTAGATTGAAAAAAACCCTCAATGCATCTCCTTCTCTATCACTGAAACATTCTTTTCAATTGTTAAACAACCACAAAGCATGAAAGAAAGAGATAGGAAGCGAGTGAGTGAGAGAGAGAGCGAGAGATGCGAGAGATGTTGCCTATCTGATCCAGAGAAAAATAGGATAAGAGGGAGGGCCGATTCATAGTTGCTATCATATGGAGAGTAAATAGGGTTGCGAGGGAAGTGATGAGGCATCAGAGTGAGGAGGGGTGGCGTGATTGGGTTGCATAAGTTAGGGCATGGGGAAAAAAGTGAGTGGCAATGATGTTGGGTATGGTAGATGAGGCGTTGCGATTGTAGGAGTGAAAGAAAGGTTGCAAGTAGCAGAGAGGTGAGGAAGCACTGGCAAAGACGACTAGGGTTTCGACGAGAATGAAGAAAGAAAAAGCAAGAAAAGATGAGACAATATTTTTGTGATTATATATATATATATATATATTTCATGTTTCTATAATTTATTTTGAAATTTCCGTGTATATTGTAATATTTTTAGATTTTCCCTATCTACAACAACCAAATAGAGTCATGCCCCTTTTGTGTGCGAGGCAATCCTGAAACAAAATTCATGGTGATATGCTCTTATTTCCATTCAAGTATAAATAGGTTGAAGTAAATCGGCTAGGCATTGATGCTCTATTTTAACCTACTCACATACCAAACACCTTGACACGAATTTTGCTATCTCTCTCTTTTCATAGTTGACTACCAATAACTTTCTTTTAAATTTTGATACATCTTTGCACTCCCCATATGCATTGCATAAAGTGAATTATGGGCCTCCTAATATGTCCCTTTTGATCTTGTGCTCATTAGGGACACAATTGATTTTTAAACATCAACACACCATCATCTTTAATAATAAAGTTTGACAGAGCACCATCTCTTACTCGAGCTCGAGTCTTCTCCAAAATCGAGTCTTTCTCTTGGGCTTCTCGAATGCGATCCACCAACAAAGGTCTCACTTTAATTGTAGCTAACAAGGATCCTGACTTCCTATCACATCCTAGATTTACAAGGTCTGGCCCACGTGAATAAACCCAACCCTAGACAATAATAATATAAAGAAAAGTAACAACTCTAATGCATAAGGATATAATAAAGTCACACAATACATGTGTTTATCCAATTTGATACACCCTACATTCACATCTAAGTAGAATCGATGATCTTTAATGAAAACATACAAGGATATTATATACAAAATTGAAATGTTCAAAGGCTTACATCATAAACAAGGGTATAACCCTTACACAAATGACACTTGGCCTATCAAATAAATAGAAATGACCCAAGGCCTATAGATAGGGAAGCACTCATACTCAGCTTCAACATATACCCAGCAGCTAATATCCATATCCACAAACAACACCTATACTTGAAAAACATTTTCAGCTACATAAGGTGAGAATAAAGCCAGTAGAGAATATTTTAAAAACTAAATATGCACCACTAGCACAAATGATCATGATGCAGTACATATATACAATATGCCCAAATGTGTTTTCAAAATCCCTCTGATTCTGAACACCAAAATCATTTCTTTCTAATCACTAAAACCCTTTTTTGTTTATTCAAAATGTTTTTTGAAGTCAAAACATTTGTTTGATAACATCCATTTCCAAAACAAGTTCGATATATCACAATACTAACCAGCAAATACATCGCTAAACCAAAGACGAATATATCGTTGAACAACAGCGAATACATTGCTAAACAGTTTTCAAAACATCTTTTCTTTCAAATCTAAAAGATAATAAAGAAAATGGATAAATCTCCAGGGCTAGTATTCATAATAGTAATTATACAAGTCACTAGGCTATTTTACTGGGATTATCCGGATGGAATCAGCACCTACTGAATAGGTTTTAGGTCTTTCACCATGGACACACACATAGGCCAACTTAATTCTGCTCTAATACCCCCTTACAACTTTACCACTTTATTCACCATTTTCAATTACACAATAAATGTGTTTCAAAAATAACATTTTCAAAAAATACAAAATGTTTTCAAAACATAATATGAAAATTCAAAAAAGAAAATTTCCAAAACTTACAGTTTTTGAGTTCCAAAACCCATGACATGCATCATGATATGTATGATTTCACAAATATTCTAGTCTGCATAATCTACATGCAATTTCTAACACACGACAATGCTATCACTACTACAAAATTATAAGATTATGCAATTTCTAACACACGACAATGCTATCACTACTACAAAATTATAAATAGATCACACTTTTTATGTGTGATGTATATTATTTAATCACACGTTTTAAGTTTTGTCAAAGTGCGATATTTGGGAGTTTGATAAAAAAAAATCCATTTTTAATCACACGTTTTGAATGTCATTAAAAGATGATTCCATCACACGTTTTGCGTGTGATAATAAATATTTAGATCATATCTTTTAAGTGTGATTCATAACATTTAGATCACATTTTTTAAGTGTGATTAATAATTAATAAAACCTGTGATAGTAAACATTTAGATCACATATTTTAAGTGTGATTAATATCTAATAAAACCTATGATTAATAGTGAGATAAAATCACACGTTATATGCATTTCTCATCATAGTTAATGCGTGTGATAAAAACAAGGTTCGACATATTTGAAGAATAATCAATATTATTTTTGTACGCGCATTTGAAGAATGTAAAACACACTATATATTATCCTTTGAATCACAACCACATATTGAATAAAATAACGTCATATATTTCATAAATGAAAGTTGAATGTTGAAAAGTATGTACAAAGGAATTAATAAAAAGTTTTTTAACTGTGATTACATATATTAAAAAAGAAAAAAACTTGAAGCACAAAGTTCTTGAATTCTTTGACTATATTTTGCATCTCTCCAAACAATTTATGACCTGAAAAATGAAAACACAAATTAATTCAGAGACCGCTAGAAGCATATGAATAAACTTATTATTTGTAAAGACTGTTTTAGTCATAGAAAAGATAAAGTCAGACATTTTCTCATCACACTGACTCTTGATCTCCAGTGTCAACAAAAAGGGAAGAACCACTTTGACTGCTACTAGTATAAAGCTAAAAAATAGCAATAATAGAGATAAAACTTTGTTGCTATTTCAATATATTGACTAAATTTAGGCAAACATTACATGTTTATTGTAAACCAAAACCAAGAAACAAACACAACCAAAAAATGAAAGGAAAAAATATTTTATCATAATTTGTTATTTGATTTGCAATTGATGCTTATTCATTTTAATTGGGTTCAGAGTTCCTATTTGTGAGATATTATGCTCTCATAATTTGTGTATTTTTTGTCTTAAATAAACTGTATGTGAATTTGTGAGGTGGTGTTCCTTCTTGCCTTGAAATAGATGCTGTCTAGTTGTGGGGAATGTGTATAGATACTGTTTCACAAGGAATATGTTCTGCATCCACTAGTTGCAAAAAAACAGAATGAGCACTGCAATCAAACTACCTCAATTGGATTTAACATATCATGTTATTGGGTTTCCCCTAATGCTTTCTTGCTCATTAATTCACATCCAAATATTTGACACAAATCAGATACCACAAATGAACAACTTTATATACATGCAGCTAATAATTAGAACCAAAATAGGTGAAAATATCAAATCCCATTCCAAAAATTGAATCTTTTATAATTTATCTTCTATTTTTTTACAGTAGCATTTGCTAAAGGTGTGAGCTTTAACAAGATACCAGATGATGACAACTAACACATTCTTATTATCTTATATCAATTTAGAAAAAATGCTAGCACAAGATGATCACCTAAAGTTTGCTTCTTAACTTTATACAATCAACAAAAGCAATCCAAAACAGACTTTCAAAATAAGACAATGTAAATATCAATGTATTGAGTAAGAGATTGAAAACATAAATAAAAATAAAATTATTTGAGAATCGATTGAGGAGCACTTGTTCATACCTTCAAAGGTAACAACAGCTGTGCTGTAAGAAAACAGACAAAGGGCAATAAAAAAAAATTCATGTAAAACCAAACTAAATCAAATCCATTTATGGTAAATTTATCATCAAAGAAGAGGCAGATCGTGCCTACAAGACCACAATACAAGAACGATTATATCCAAATAACTGAAGAATCGATAGA